AGTAAAGTATTTTTTGTTTATTTTGTTTGTAGATTGTAATTAAAGATGACTTCATCTGACCTGATTTCAAAACATGAACAACTTGATCAATCAAATTATATGACAAATGAAACATTTTCTATTCTACTTGAACCTTCATATATTTATTGTGGTATAGCTTATATTCCTCAACCACGAAATGAACTTGCTATTGTTTTTGCACATAATGATAAAAATATATTAGAATTACGTCGAACAGATGATAATAATTTTGATATAATTCGCTCAATTGAATTAAATGATATATCTTTATCTATTGATGATTTCGTTTGGTGTTCACATCGAAATGAATTTTTGTTTATGTCAAATGGACAGCTAATAACATATAATCTTGAACAAGAACAAATAACAAATACCTTACTTATTGATAAAGATAAAAATAAATGTCGTATTGCATGTAATTCAACATTAATTGCATGTGTAGATTCTCGAACATTAAAATTATATGAAATAAATACATTAAAATATCTTCGTCAAAAACGTCTTGATCATGTTTGTGAAGATATTGAATTTGATGATCAATATTTTGTTTCAACACATACGGGAAAATTAGAATTTTTAGATCGAACACTTTTTTCTACACGACGTTTTGCTATTGGTGGTACATCAATATGCCAATTTAATACAAAATTATGGCTTATTGCTGATGCATTTGATGATCGTCTTTTATGGCAATCACTTGATAAACTTTTACTAACTATTTGTCATATACATCAACCTAAATCAATTGCTGTTATTCCTACTATATCTCGAATTATTGTACAATGTAATGATCCAAATCGATTATTAATATTTGATTCAATTAGTATTAATTCTTCTGCATAATTATTAGTAATGATTGTCTAGTTTTTATTTCAAATAAATATAGCAATGACTTATTTAACTTCTTTTTTCCTATTTTTGAGAGATTAACTATTCATTTTTCGAGATTTCATATGTAAGAATGGATAAGTTTAAAGATCAGATCGTTGAGATTTGAAAAAAATGCAAATCAGACAACGTCACAAGATGATTTTCTTTGCTCTGTCCTACAGAATGCAGGACATTTTCATTCACAAAGAAATCTATTCAGATACTTCCTTACGACTTTAATGACCTTTTGTTTATAGATACTATTACATAGTGTTCTAATAAAAATGCTAAAAGCATTTGAGTTTCTATTGAGATTTAACTAACGAGGGAACATTCCCAGGTGTTGGAGCGATTTTTAGTCGAGACTTTGCGCATCTTGTAGGCCTTGATGAATTATATCTACC